TCTGTGATTGACAGCTTCTCTGTTAACTGATGTGTTTTCTGATGCAGTAAACTCAAATAATCTCATCCTGGAATGATTGAAAGGAATTCAAAGATCTGCTGTTTCAGCCTCGTCTGTTTGCGTCTCCGTGTTTTCACTCTCGCTGAATATATATTTGGCCCCAAGGAATGAACGCACCAGCTATAGTTTGCCTTTCATCGTCTTTCAACACCACCATAATGACTGTGTAGCTTGAAAAAACATAATACATATTTTCTGAGCTGTGAAATCACTTTCAGATTTTCCCTTATTCTGATAGTTAAGCTTGTCATTGTGGTTGGATATGCAAACTTGAGTTTCATGGCGCGTGACTGTGCCATGTGGAGCCATCTGACGAAAAGCCCAAGCTCTGTTTTTAGGTTCACGATGACAAACTCTGTCTATAATTTCCTTAAACTTGGAGGCCAAAGTGATGGCGTCTTCTAAAGTTAATGGTCGCAATTTCAAACGAAAATGTCCGACAACCTCCGGTCCAACGCTACAGAAAGATGGCGAACTGTGAAAAACGATTGTGCCATTGTTGTTACATGTAGCAGGAAACATGACCTCCCGTGGACTTTTCCTCCAGGTCCGTCTTCAGAGAAAGAGAATCGTCACGCAGCCCGAAACCAAACAAGTCATCGGCTTGATTCCGAGCAGAGAGCCGGACCGGGCTGCGGAGGGGGGAGTAATGATTTTAACTTTAAACTGAATTGCCAATCGATCGGGCACACAGATCAGAACCCAGGTTGAGAGCCGACCGCGTGCACATGCTGTGTTGCCGAAGTCGCTTTACAAATTGACTGCTGCACACGTAGGAGGAAACGTATCTGTGTGTCGGCTTGGCGCTGCGTGCGCGGCGGCCCGCTGGGCGCGAACAGGCCTCGTGATCACCGGAGAGGCAGCCGTGGAGCGTTTATGCTGAATTAGGTCGTAGACGAGCGTGCGTTTGGGTTCCAGGAGGGACTCGGGAGTCGGAAGACAACTTTTCCAGAGGCTGCAGCAGGGCCTGACCAGGTTTATAATGGGAACGGAAACCGCGCTGCTCTTTACGGTCTCCGATCCCCGTCGCTGAACGGGAGAGGTCTGGTGGCGGGCCGAGCTTGAAAGGAAATGGTATAAAATAATACGTAGCAAATTGCCTCGGGGTTTGGAGGTTGAGTTTTAACCGTGGTGCGTTTTTATGGAGACTACTGGGGAACATATTAGCACAAGTGTCATGTTCCAGAGAACACATGCGAGGCTGTGATTACTGAGCTCAAGCTGAACTGTAAAATCACTTGTCAGCAGCTGATAGGTTTTTGGAAAAGCCTGGGCTCTTGATTGAATTAGTTGGGGGTTTTTTGGTGGGGAGGAAGAATGTGTCCACAATGTAGTTACCTGCTGGCAGACAGCACTGATATTAAGACTGTTTGATGTGCTTTAAAACCAGGGAACAGCCTCCTGGCCGCGTGGAAATACAGATGTACCTCCATTTCTTTCTCTTTTAGAGTACCTGCTGTGTCGTGTGCATCTTTTTCCAGTCATTCGTTATTATTTATGGACGACTGACAAAGCACAAAGTTTCAGATGAAGTACAGGCTTATGTTTTATTTCCCATTTAGATGCATGAGATGGAAGTTGTGCCATCGCAGGCCCTTCAGACGTGTATTCCGTGGATCTTGGTTGTCGGGTTCATGTTTACTGATCTGTGTGGTTACTCCATCATATCGGGGGTGAGATGGGGTCATGTTGGTGCAATATTGTGTTCACCCTCAGGTTGAAATAATTTTGTTTGCTATAATGGCTGTAAAACACCTTATTTCCCACAGGACATTCTTTCATATAAATATTCCTGCCCTGGGATTTAAAGTGTTGGGGGAAGAAAAAAAAAAATCAGGCATCAAAATTACACTTCGCTACAGTCGAAAGAAGAAGGATACAAGTTGATATTTGTTGCTATGAATCTGATTGTGCTTGTCTAACTGGAGCGTTCACATTGATTCAAGGGGAATCCTCAACGTTCTATCTTGACATTGAATAAAAAGAAAGCCAATAATATGCATTTAAAGAAAACCCCAGAAACGCCCATTCACTGGCTGCTTGGCTTTCTGTCTGCCTGCGATGGAGTCTTTTCACGTTCGGATCAGGCCCCCTAAGCTCTTGATTCCCTCCCGTTAAACAGTTGAAGAAATGTGCCAGTGTTGCAGAAGCAGAAATAAAAACACTCGAGCGCCCAGTGTTTGCTCTGCCATGGAGCCATGTCTGACCCGGTTACAGAGCACCTTTTTAGCTGGGACTTCATTTGCCATGATTGTCTTTAGGTGAGATATGCCAGTTTTCTTGAGCGTAACATCGCTGTTTCCCAAGAGCTGTTGCATAACGCTTCGCTGGAGACACAAGGCACGCTTATTCTGTGTTCAAGAGCGTAAAAAAAAAGAAGTAATTCCACACCTCGGAGTTGCTCAACTTTTCATTTTCCTTGAATCTAAAATTCTTATTTAGCTATTTGGCCCTTCACGTGGCAGCTCTCTCGTCTAGCTCGTCACATCATTTTAATTACAGAGCCTTCATTGTCTGCACTGACCTATTTTAGCTGCTTGGTCCCTCCAATCACACTTAATTTCATCTGGCATTTGAGTCAATCGTCACTGCTGCGAACATGAGTGGCCAATTCCCCCCCCCCCCCCCCCCCCCAAATGGGGAATAACAATGATAATCACCACTCCCTGCTCTGGTTGTCCGCCGGGGCCTCGGCCCGGGCTGCGATACGACATGGTGCAGCTTTTAATGGTGAAGATTGATACCGGCGGTGGCCGGGGACATTTCTCGGGATGTTAGTCGCAGTCCTCGGAGGAGATAAGGAACTGCTCTTAAAGGGCCAAGGAAACCCAATAAAACATGACGCACAGAGACAGAGACCGGGGAGTTTCACACCACTCATCAGCCCCCGGATTTAACTTGATTATGTGTCCTCCAATGGCGCTAATAGGATTCACGTAAGGTCCGTACATTTCAACCATACATCAGAGTGTTGCTTCCTGATTTCGGAACACTTGCACGCTTGTGAAGCAGTCTAACGTGGCAAGTGATGGAGTTGGAATGTGTGTCAAAAAAGTGCCACCAACAAGTTTGCACAGACTGAGACGAAGCTGCTCTGCTCAGGCAGGAGAGCGTACAAGCATCCGTATTAAAAGCGGCATTACGGTCTCAGATCCGTCTGTGCTCCTCTGGGGGGATATCCTGCAGCCTCACAGAACTATTTACCAAAAAGAGCTGTCTGCTCACTCTTCAAAACAAAACAAAAAAATCATATTCACATCAGATAGACACGGGGACGGAAAAAAAACGAGCGACGGCACAGAGGCCCCACAATCTGAACAACGTTCCCCGTGCTTGAATATCTCTCAGACTTCAATTTGTTATCTTGAAGAAGAAGAGGGACCAAGTAACACTTGTGAGATAAGCCCAGCATAAGGTTAATTACCGAGCGACGGGCTGACGTAACCCAGCCACGTCTCGTCTCCAAGTTCCACGCAGCTGGGAAGTGAAGGAGCGCTAGCTATAGACAGATGGCTCCCACTTGAAGGTGTGTGAGCGTGTTTTTACACACATTTGCGTTTGTGCAAACATGCAACCCCCCACCTCTGCCCCCAGTGCACCCAGTCTAGTTTAGTGGGGCATCTCCAGGTAAGATGGCACCGGGGGCTTAGACAGCACCAACCACCTGCTCCAGCGACTGCTAGCAGAGCTTGTGGCTCCGGGTTCTCGCTGGAGCGTAACGCTGTTAACATTGCTGCTCATTCCCCACTCCCTCTCCAGGGCACAGACTAATTAATGGATACCATTCGCAGTTGATTAGCAGCAGTTCTTTCGGTAATTACATTCGCACACTAACCACTCAGAAGAAAAGGAGAAGGGCAAAAAACACAAAGGGCTAGAAAATATATGAATGCACTTCTCAGTTGGCTCTGATCTTAATTTGTTTCCACTATTGTTTGGCCCCGGCTCGGATAAGAAGCCATTTATTTCTCTTTCTCCCCATCTATTGGAGTTTTTCGTCGGTCATAATGTTTTAAGAGAGTGACTTTGTAATAAACACACAAAAGAGATTGCTGGCGAGCTTTGTTTAAATGGCGTTCTCAGTGGAACCTCAAGAAGACGCGAATGCACTGCGACTCTTTCTCCTCCGTGTCGTACTGACTGGCTGTTTTTTTTTTTGCACTCCTCACTCACAGAGAGGTGCATTGTGCTCCTGGGCCCAGCTGCTAGCCCATAATTCTTCATTCTATGTCCCATTGTTCCTACCTGTCAGCGTGGCTGTGTCTCCAAAGAAAGGAAGTGGCTGCCATTTTGCCAGCAGGCTATGTGTGTGTTGTGAACATATTATTTGTGACCAAAGTACGGGGGTTTTAAAAACTCATCAATTGTCTTGCATGCTGGCGTTTTACAGTTTTAAAGGTTTTTCTTGACACACTTGTAGCACCGGTGGTTGCTCTGTTACTGCTCTGATATCAGCTTTAATATTAACAGGTAATTTATTGAAGAACACACTTTTACGTGTTGCACTAAAATAGGGCAAATTTAAAATATATTTTGAAATCATATTGGTGAATTAAATTGGAAAACCCCCATTAACCCATAATGTACTCCAGCCATATTGAAAACCCCCTGTCTCCTTATTTCCCCCCAGTATCTCTCCTATCGTTTATTTGAAGTTAATAACCTGCCACTGCATCTTGATGGTTTTGTGATGCAAACGTATCCTTAATTGCCATCCCATATGAGCTGAATAGCCGGACCAGATTCTCATTACTGTGGTTTGAAATGGCCTGGGCCTCTCCCAAGCCTCTCGTCATGTCACAGTAATGGCAGAGAGGCAGAATGTGTGTAAACATTCAGAGCCAAGTGTGAGTATCGGTTTGACGGACAGGTGTCCATTAGGAAAGGAGAGCTGGAGTTGCACTCGATGTTATCTGGACACTAGTGGGCTGATTGTGTTTCTTCTTTTTTTCTCATTTGCAGTTCCAAAACAACAACAACAACTACATGAACATGGCAGAGGCCAACGGTGCTCTGCTCGCTGCTGGTGATGTAAGTAAATCTGCTTTTTACCATGTTAATGTTCTCTTTTGAAGATGGAAAACTCAATACGACCAACATACTCTCAATACGAATGCAGTTGAGGACAGTGGAGTTTTCACAGGTGCATGCATGTCCTTACATGATACTCCTTTTTTTGACATTTCTCTGTGGTTCAGATTTCCCTATTTAAGGAAGCGTAATCGGGAAAAGTCGGCAACAGTGGCAGCGAGTATTTAAAGGATGAAGCTCTGTATTTCACGCTGTGAAGCTGCCTGAAACATCCACAGTGATACATTCCTATTTGAATTTTGTTTGTCGAAGGCAACATCATTTTATTTCCTGAAACGCCGCCTGCTCAGATGCCTCCTGTCCCGAGAGCCTCAAAAGACAATAAGCTTAGAGAAAGATGAGCTGGGCTCACCCCATAGCGCCTCATGGTAACTTCTGGGATCCGTTGCTGATGGGATCCGACTGGCTTGACTGCACTCTGTAAGATACATTGATATCACAGAAAGCTAAGGTTACAAACCCCAGTTTTCTTCAACCTCCCAAAGACAAAGCGGAGGAGCCCAAAGAGCCAAAGAGGCGCTATAACTCTGTCACATACCGTCTGCTGGCCCTTACATGAAATCCAATGTCACCGACAACGTGCTGCTGTAATAGCTCTGCACGCTGTACTGTGGCATCGGGAGAAAGAAGGGGACCGTTGTTTCTCAGAAGGCCTCCGTGAGCCATAGTTGTCCCAACGCTGTGCTAAATTTACTTGTTCTATTCCCCCCTCCACCCACTCCGCTGCCCTGTCATTTAGAGACAAGTGCACCAAAAATACCCGTCATCCGCTGTGGTTCAAACGGGACAATCTCATAAGTTGTCACAGGGGAGATTGATCCGCCGCTAAACGGCAAAGCAGCGTCACGCCGCTCCTAAATGACGCGGTGGATGTCACGGTTAACCCCAACGCCGTCCTTCACGTCACTCGGCCAGTCGGGATGCAACCGCGACATTCAAGCTCGGACTGAAGTGTTTTGAGTGTGGCCCCGGGAGCGTTATGGAAGAAGTTTGTATTTCTCTCCCCACATTTACGCCCCGTGGGGGCATCCTCTGTCTCCGTGGGCTGCCGGTGGGGCCACGGCAACGGGGCCCACAGCCGACCCCCAGCTGTGAGGGCCCAATGTGGCTGTGAGGAAACTGGGATGGACGGGCAGTTTTTTTCTTCTTGAAAACCGCCCGGCCTCATTTGCATTTCATCAAAAGGAAGCACTGATTCCAGTGTTATGGCACAGATGGTATTGTGCTGAGGGGAGAAAGAGATAATGCGTCCTAAGCATGAGTTGTTGTGTTCTCCGAGAGCCCACGGTATTGTTTGTTGCATCCAGAGCTAAATTAAGGTTAATTTGACCTCCACTTTGAGGTTTCACTCTCTCCACTGTAATGCTATATTCATCTACTTGATGTGCCTTCACTGGGCTCCATTATAAACAGCCAATGTTGACCGCACCTTCACTTTATGCCAACAAATTTGTTTAGCTATTGTTTTCTAATCCAAACCAGCGGTGTTTTGCATAGTTGCACCCTCGTATTATTATAGAATAATTCTATAAAGAATCACTGCTACTTTGTGGGTCTACAGAGGTCTGATGGAATGGCTATTGTCTTTAGAACTGACACATGCACAAATATTGACCTGGAGTTTCAGTGGTGTGCGTGATTATAGAGCCAACATGCGTTTGCACATGAATTCTCCAAATGTTTATCTAATTTCCCTCCAACATTCATCGCTCTTAAAACACATCACCTCATGCAACAATTTTTATTTTCCCACCTGAGCATTGTAACCTCCATCAGTTAGCGTCAGTCAGGGGAAATGAAACTGCTTGAAAGAAAACAGTCGGCGACTTTGCAGCCCTTTTGCCACCTGTTTTACATGAAGAAATTGCAATGCAAGTGTCAAGTTGTTTCACCTATAATTTAGTGAGACTATATAACTTTTGCGAACAGCTGCCACTGTGGAGACTAATTACAATGTAGGGAAACATGTTGAAACATAGTGGTCCACTATGTAACGCGAGACGGGCCATAGTCAGTGAGCTGACTCTGTTATGTGCAGTAAAACTTTGTTAGAAAACTCTAAAACAAACTCAAACTCAAGGGATGCACGATTATCAGCAAAATAATAATCTAGATTATTTTGATCAATATAATGACGATTATACGGATTATTCATTCTGTACAGGGATAACACATTATCATCCTTCACATCTAGATGGCATTATGGGTTGTGTGCTTGCACATCAGCAACAGCAGCCCTGTACTTGCCGTTGAGATGGCTGCAGTATCGTTTACCTTATGCACTTAGAGGATGAGATAAGATGACCTTGGTGTGCCTGGTAAAGCATACATCCTAGCAGGGAAAGCTTGACTGCTTCCCTCAGGGAAAAGGATACTGTACACATGGAGTTTGTGTTCCACTCAGATGTATCGCTTTACTTTCCTAATCCAATTAGAGACGTGTAATGAACTATAAATATGTAGAAATGGACTACAAATGATCCAAGTTTGAAATAATGTTGATTAGGGGTGCCATGGTTGATGTTGTCATTTGAGTAGCTGCACTCTGCCCGTCTAGATATTTGAAACTGGATAGTCAATGCTGCCTCTATTGATTTGGAGGCCTATTATATTCAGTAATTGCATGCTGCTGCCTTTAACAAGTCTTGGTTATTGCATCTGTGAATTGCATTACCACGTTTATTGAAGGGCTGGGGATATTGCCTGAGATGCTTTCTCTTGCTCTTTGTGCTGATATTGAAAGAGCACCAGGACGGCATTAGGATAAAATATCAGAAGGGGAAAATTCACTGATACAACAAGAAGCATGTTGTGAGATGTGTAACAATTATTTTATTGTTCAATTATGTTACATAGAGCAACAGTAAAACAAAATACAGATATAAAGCAACATACAAAGAATATGTTTGAATCCAAATCTCACTTTTAGCTATGCTGGTGGCTCCCCTTTAAAGGATGGCCATGTTGGTCTGTCCACAGTTTACCAATACCAAAATATCTCATTGTTTTCATGTTGTTGAAAATGAAATCATGGATTGACGAAAGGGACGACATTGATAATTTCCTTGACTTTTCATTCAGTGCCTCAAAGCTATTTGACACATTAGGATAGATAGATCTATATAGCTCTATACAGGTATTTCAACATCTGTCAGATAGTACCTGATATATTGTACACGACTTTGATAATTCCTCAACCAATTTTCCTCCTGACATTTTTAATTTCAAATAGTCTTTTGGGAAATGCCAACTATCCAATGGACACATTTGTGGAATTCTTTGGATTAGGACTAAACACTTTCAGGGCGAGTATAACATTCGGATCAGCCACATCTGTGCTTTGAGTTTATGGCTCATTATTGAAAGTTGGCATCCTTACATGGTTTTGCACCATCTGTACAGCACTATGTTATCATTGTGAGCAGGTTAGCAGCCTGACGTTAGCGTTTAGCTCAAAGCACAAGCAGCTCAAAGCACTGCTGTGCTGAAGACTCTTTATTTTGGCTTTCTGTCCCTTTCATTTGGTATGCAGCATCATGTAATTCTGATTGCTATTAACTATCAGGGGAGGGTTTGTCTATCGCCTCGCACCAGATAAACCCCACTATTCGATACCATTTTCCAGGCGGAATATAGACTATGAGACAGAAACTGCAGTGCAGTTTAGATCATTTCAGGTTTACCCCTGAGCACTGATTTCACATACGCCCGCTCAGTGTGCCCATGCTGGCTTCATCAGGCCTCTCTGTTACAAGCACTGCTCTGCCCTCATACCACTGGCCTCTGTCGCTGCCAATGGAAAGACACACACACACATCTTTCTGTGTGTGTGTGTGTGTGTGTTGGGCTGTCCCTTGCCCACCCTTTAACATGTACATGCCTGCACATCTCATGCCAGCATCTGGCTTGGCACTTGGCTTCGCTGAGCCTTTCGGAACAATTTAAACGGATAATCAGGCTGGTGATGCCGAAGAAAGTGGATTGTGCATCTCTTAATCTCCGATCAGAGCACTCTAAGCGGCTCCTGGTGCAGAATTAGAGTGGTTTATGTGAAATGACACTAGACCGTGTGCGACGCCGCAACACTCTGTGGGTTCTAGCAAAATCTGGCTTCTCTTCCCCGAGGAGATCGCCCTTTCTTGTAAGACAGTTGACATCTTTCCATGCCCCCCAACCTCACAGGAAACACAAATGCCATGTCTCCATTATCGGGGCCCCTGGTACAGATGTTAATTGCGTTCATCATTAACAAAGCGATGCAAGGCAGACGAGCCAGCTCTCTGATACTAATCTTCCCTCCCTGTTTTTCTGTCTATGTCCATCTTCTTCTTCTTTTCTGTTTAGACGACAATAGATACAAGCATTCTCCTCCAAGTACATGTCTGCGCTTTGCTTAAAGGTCATAGTCGGGCCTCTGGCTGCTCCACTACAAAAAAAGTGGAGCTCTCTTCATCCAACAGTCTCCTTTGACAACTCGTCTTTTTAATAGAGTAATAAATAAGACATTTGTAATTAAGGCCGCAACGCACAAGCCTTTGCCCTGGTAGATATAGTAGTTCAAGAAAAAAACAACTGGTAAGTGATATGTTCCCTTCCTCAAAAGCATTCCTGCAAGGGCTTATGTGGATACATGTGCTTAAGGTCATCCGGTGCAGCGTTTCTGTAGGTCCTGGGCAAGATCAAGACCGGGGTGATACTTTTCTGTCAGATATTATGAGAGTTTGCCCGTGTTTCCACGTCGCTGCATGATAGCATACAGACGAGTCCATAGATCTCAAAGCGGGTGTGGAGGTTGACCTCAGTCCGCCGGGGACGTTGAAAAAGATGAATGAAGACGACGAGGATAAAACGATCTCTGATCCTTCCAATGTGCCACTGTAGCTTTCTGTCCATGACTCACGACCATTTCGTTTTTCATATATACTGTATACATATAGTTTTATGAACACTGGCTTTTGATTCACATGCTGCTGAAGAGGCATTATTGTGAACTAAGTTCTGCAGGCTTTTGAGCGGACTGAAGCTTAATATGACAGCAGAGGACTCGTAAATGGCTGCTACTGAAGGCGCCGGTGATTTATGCGGCACTCTGCGAGCCAGAGGCCATGGGGCTGTGATGAATATAACCTCAGCTCCTTTTAAAAGGAGAACTGATTCTCTAGCCGCGAAACAAGCACTGAAAAGTGTAACGGTGGTCGGGCAGCAGGAAGGGAGGGAGAAAAAGAAGGAACTCTCTTTGCTGCCTCTGCCACAGGAATTCATCAGTTCTTGTCAAGACAGCCGCCCTGAGTAGGCAATGAATTAGTTTCAAGTGTCTCGTGTGCTAAAGCAAACAGGGGACACATTAATACTCCCTAATCAAGGGCTCTGGTGGCATATTCCCTCCGTTGTCTCCTCGTAATGGAGACCGTAAGACAGAGCAGTGGAAGACATGGCGGCCATGCCTGGTTAGCTTTGTAGTGGACCATAGCGTGCTCTGCTTGCAGATCAAGCAGCTCTCAATATCAGGTAGTTTGGAGGTTTGTTAGCGCAGGAGGTGGATTCCCATGGGTTGTGCCAAGCGAGGATCCCCAACACGTGCCGACGGGACGTAATGGTGCCACATGTTTTAAGAGTGAGTGAAAAACCAGCGATACGGACCGGCTGCCCTTTCAAAGAAGCAGGGTTCATCTCAAAGTGAGCCGTGATCGTCTCCAGGAACCTTGACGCGGTCGAAAATGAAAAAGCAGGTGTGTGGAATTGTGATTCTGCTATGCGGGAGACTCATCGGTGCCTGCTGGAAGTGCCGTCAATACCTATTTACCTCCTGTTTACTTTGCTTCCGAGACAACCGCTTTCCTTCAAGGATTGCACAACGCATTTGGAACAGGTGATGCGGCCGCTGGAGGAAAGTCCGAAGCAATACCGTGGAAGTGATCTGAGGATAACAAAGAGGTGCATGGGATCAACCTGTAGATCAACTTAGCTGTGTTTCATCATAGCTGCTGGAAGCAAGCCGTTAATATCATGTGTGCATACATGCACGTGGACCTGCAGCGTGGTCATTGTGATGCTGTGAATGCATGGGCATTCCGGAGAGTAGCTTAATGCAATGTGTGGATGAAAACAAGAACCGAGTAGGTGCACCGTGCCATCTCCAAGACGGCACATAAGCAAATTAAGTGTGACCGAAAGCTTTAATTCGGAAAGCAGAAGGATTAGGCTGTTTGATGAGCAGATTCAAGGGTGCAGGCAAGGGGAACATAAAGAAACACTTCTGGCCAAGCGTGATAATCTTTGAATATGTTCTTTAAACCCATCTCCCTGTGACGTGTATTTTCACTGAACTTCAACCCAACATCTTCCATCCCCAAGATTAAGGGCTTTTATCATGTATCCTCTCCCTCCCGTGATTGCCGCTTGATATTTTTGCTTTTGACGTCTTCCTCTGCACTTGCCCTTTTTCCTTATTTTTCGCTCAAAGTGGCGTTTAATGGGTTTAGGAAATTTTACGTCTTAGTGCACTTACAGACAAGTGTATTACCACTCGGCCCAAACTCTGCCAGTCTCAAACACAGTTGTCTGATTTAATCCCTGAAGGTTTCCTCCCGGCATGTTAGATAAGCCCCACCTCAGAGAATGTTTCCTGCCCGTTTTGTGCTGCTGGATCTCACGATTTTTCCTCTTCCTTGCAGACTTTTCACACACCCAGCTTGGGAGACGAGGAGTTTGAGATTCCTCCCATTACACCTCCACCTGAGACGGAGTCCGGTCTGGGTCTATCAGATGTGGACTCGCCCTTCCCAGCAATGCCAGAGCCGCCAGTTCCTCACAGGGGTCTCTTAATCCCCCAGTTCCCCCCTCAGAGCCTGGACCTGCCCTCTATCACCATCTCACGCAACATGATGGACCAGGACGGGGTCTCCGTCAACAACGGCCAAGCTGTGGTGAGCACCGCTTTTCACACACGGCACGAGCAAATCGAGAAGTACTTTGACGTTATCATACGTCAGCACCCAGAGAAACCTGCACTAGTGCAGCTCCGGTACTTGTAGCTGCAGCTCCAGATGTGGTTTCTGATGATGGATCAAAAATAAGATTTATAAATTATACACTGCTGGACCCCCCATGATATCAGATGTGTACAGTTCTTAAATAAGCCCTTTTACTGAAGCAAAATGTCACCTTCACAGTTTTTGTATGCCTCCTGTTGTCCCTGCATCTGGCACAGCATCTGGCTGTGTTCACAACACGGGAGGAATAGGATCATATTAAGTAAATGTCATGATATTATGTTACTTTAAGATTTTTTTTTTTTTTTTTCAAAGCACACAGAGTGCAGATGATCTCTTTCTGTAAGGTCAGCCGATGTGAATAGATCACAGGTGTCGGAGTACAAAGCCCATTCAGGCCCAGAAGGACGGTGAAAATAGGACCCAAAAGTGCCACCGTTTCACATGCTCATATTTAATTCATGTTGCCTCCAGAAGCCCCTTGTCTGTTGTAAGTGCTGATGCATGCTTCTGTCCAATGTCACACGAGGTCTTCAGGAAAAGACACATGCTTTGTTTTGAAGTTTAGGACCAGCTTTGTGTTTGTATAGAGTAACTCTCCACTTTTAGCTTAATCCGCCTTTCCCCCGTCTCCTTAACTCTCTTGATGTTGAGTCGTGCTATAGATTGAGCGATTGTTGTATTGGGCTGCAAAGGCATTTTTCAAATGCCACAATCATAGAAGCATTGAGGAGGAAGAACAGAAATGTCACTGACTGAGTAGTTGTCTTACAGACCGATTATAAAAATGGAAGAATCGAAATGAAAGGACAAAAAGGCACAAGCGGAGATGCCGAACCACACAACGTGATGAATGTACATTTACAGTACATTTAATGTATTTTAGACCACCTCCCTTTGTTAAATCACATTGTTATTAGAGATATTTATTTACATTCCATATGGAAAGGGGGTATTACCATTTACTGCTCCCTTTCTCGCTTTCATGCTTCTGGCATGTAAAATAATTGCTGCTTTTAAAATATCTCCGCCGCATACAGTAAGTGAGCCCCGCAAGGCTTTTGCCTGAAGAATTTTCATTTCATGGTCAGTTAAGCTCTCTACATCTGGAAGAAACGGAAACCTTGACACAATTACGTTCCTGACTGTTCTCACAACTTGCTGGAGGATTAGATTTGATTCTCAAACATTATTCCTCTTTAACACCATTTGCATGGCTCATGTCTCTGATTGTGTGGAGACTATTAAAAGCTGAGGGGAGAATGTGGGCTTCTGCTCCTTGCCTCGTGGCTTTGTCGTCGGCACACCGCTCCCTTGTTATCGGTCATCACACATTGTAGCTGGCGGTGGCCCTTCGTTTCTCCCGGAAATGGGATTGATCCCTAAAAAGTCTCCTCACAATGTCTTTTCAGAAATTCTACTCATCGATTTGTTTTCATCTCTACCTTCAAAAGTGAGCGCAACTTTTGAACGGGAGGAGTACCAGTGCTGTTTGCAGCGCATTCTATATACAGAGACAAAGATTAACGAAGGCCCTAAGAGGGGTGTTTTGTCATTATGTCAGCACACTGATAAAGGAATGACAACCTTATATACATGATTACATTCTGTGGTATTTGTTATGGCTGCAGGGGCAAACAAATAAACCGTGCACTCTTGCAATTACATTTTTCATCAAGCCGCCATGCTCACAGTTCCCAAACACTTGTCTTGGTTTTCTTTCTTTATGCGAGCTCACTGGTGGGGAATATTTAGTGTGTGTGTGGAAGCCTGTCTCCTTATCAGAACTTAATGAGAAACCCAAGCAGTGAATATACCTGGGCTATTTTCAAAAGCTTCTTCCATGTCATTGCTTTGCCAAGTGTTCTGTTAATTCCTCTCCCCATAATGTTCAGCGTATGTCTTGCAAATTGGCCACAGATGCCGGTCCGCTACAAAGAGAAATACATTTTCTCAGCCGCAATGTGCCTGGCAAGCCATGAATCCAAAGTCATTATTTATTTAATCTGCTCTCCTAACAAGCTTCTGACTCTCATTTTTGTCTCCCAGCATGTGTCCTCCTGATTTGTGATTGAATCTCAATAGTGCCAAATAGTGCTGGAGTTGGAGCTGCCAGTATTGCTTTATTCCCAATTTCTTCTCGATTTTCTTCCCCCTGCACAGCAAGGGTCTCTGGCTTCTATTTCAAAAAACACCTGGTGCCTTCGCCACACTTTCGGCTTTTCTCGACACATGTCGGCGTGCACAGAAACCAACCTTCCCGATTGGATTTGAAACCTACAAAATGATTAATTTCAATATTTAGGAGAAATGAGCCCTGCCGTCTTATTACATTTACCCCTATGTGGTGATGCATTTTATATGTTTCATTAACGACTGGCTGTGTCACATGTCATTGGCTCTACGGCAGCAAACGTACAGCGTGCGTCATCTACTCGATGAACGTCTGGGAAAGAGATTTGCAGTTTGTTGTTCACTTGATTTTGATATGGCATGCTATTGTGTAGAATGCGCTGGCTTTTGAATAGTCAAAAACCACTATATCTTGAATCAAATGGAACACATGGGCACTGATGCAGAAAGCATGTTTTTTTTTCTCCATGCTTCCCTCTTATCTCCCTTCCAAGCCGAGAAGCACTGACATGAGTTGTACATCAATTTAAGAGAGTGGATTCTTTTTTTTCTTTTTTTTCCCATTCGCTAGGTTCTTTTTTCTTTTCTCCCTCGACAGACTGCTATTGTGACATATTGGGTCAGTCAGGAATGAAAGATATTCGTGCAGGCATGCAATACTTGTAATGAAGTCTCAGCTTGACCTTCTGCATGATTGATTCTGTAATTTACTTTTCTCAGGCAGCTCTCAAAATGAAATGATGTCATGTCGGACAAGTTTTAAATACCCATAATGCATCAGGAGAAATTGTGTAAAGGGGTATGGGTCAGTGGCTGTACCAGACCAAGGGGAGGGAACCTACTGGCCTCCCAATCTGAAGGGGGGGGGGAGAAAGATCTGTTTTTAAGTGGGGGGGTTAGAGGTTGGGAAGATAAATGGACTCAGTCTGAACACCACGGAGAGAGAAAGAGAGAAGTGTGTTTGACTGAGACGGGGCAGGCAGGGGAAAGAAAAACAATTTATCTTCATGCTATTATAGCCTTTACCGCATTCAAAATTCCATTTTTCTCATTTGGCTTAAGCACAGACTTCAGCAGGTTGCTGAAAATGGAGGGGGGAAAAAAATAAAATGGTGTACCCATTTAGAAGGCGAGTAAAGGAATATGTGCAGAGCACTGATAAACTATCTTTAATAGGACTGACCTTTCATGCTGGAGAAAGTTACTAGGGGATTCATCCTTATAATTACCATATAGATGATTTTACTCCTCTCCTGCCATGGAACATTTCCAAGAGCTCTGGCATTGATTGAATGGAAATTGAACTTGTTAACATTCTTTTCAGCCTGTTACAGCTCAGTACATGGTGCCACTGTTCATAAATTCTCCTTTTAATTCTGATTTCCAGTATCTTAAAGAACAGACTTCAGCCTCAGTGTTAAGATTGTCATCACTTGGTGACTTCATAATGTTGTTTTTGTCCTGCTGCTGTGTTTATTGGACCGCGTTTATTGTGGAAAAGGTTTCACACATTGTCAACAGTGGGGTTTTTTGTGTGTTTTTTTTCTCATCTGCTGGTCTTTATGTGGCTCTGTGTGGAGTGTTTGCTTTGTTAGGTGTGGATGAGGCCAACAATAACATTCAAAACAAGCTATTTTTCTTCTTTTTTTCCAGCACACAGTCGAAGGCATTGTGTCGTTGGCAGCTTATTCAGATTAAAAGCAACCGAATTACAAAATAAATTTACGTTTAAAAAACACATGTATTGATTTGTGAGTAGATGTCAGCTTGTTACTGTTTGACCGTACAAACACAATGGCAGAAAGCACACCTACACACACGTGCACGCGCGCACACACACGGGGCACATCTGGCCACTGTGTACTCAAGATAAGGACTTCTTTGCAGATTTACGATGACTATCAACATATCTAGTTAGATGTCTGCTGTGACTGCTGACAATACTGCAATCAAAATGCAAATGAGAGTGTAGAAGCACATAAATAAACATCCCAGTACCGGATTCATATTCACAATCAAGGCAAATGTTACCTTAGATTATTTCCTCCGCCGTGTTATTAGCCGTTATCTTTTCTTTCAAATCGGTCGCGCTGATGCCGGCATTTCTCTCGCTGTCATCGTTGTGTTAGACGGTGTGAAAATGACTGCTACTCCAGCTACTGCTATAATATGTGATAAAACAAGACATTTAGCAGGCTGTTTGTTGAATGGGACATGAGTGAGTGTTTAACTGTGGTCATCAGTGGATATTTATTTCTTTAAATGCACCACATCCAAAGGCCATTCAGGAGGAATCACCATATTCCAAACAAATGGCAGAACGGGCCATTGCTCTAAGTCAAAACTGCATCATTGGGATTCGGCAAAAGGGTTATTATACAGATGGCCACGACTAATGAGCTCAGTGTGTGCGTCTTTGATGTTCGCAGCGAGCAGAGGGCCAACTGCGAGCCGTCGTGCTCCCAGTAATGAAGATGACAATAGCACTTGGAACGCGCCGCGTCGCGGATATGTAAATCACAGTCGTTCGGTCGCAGGCTTGTTTATTGCAGCTTTTATTTGCAGGAAGCCTGAGAGCTTCCATGTTTTGAAGCATCAATACAATATGCCTTCAATTTCTCCCCCAACCCCCGGGCTCACCTTTGCCGAATGTACCTCACTCATGTAAATAATATCCATCCGCTCTCACTTCATAGATTGTATTTATGATAAGCAGCCGACATGGCGTTTGAGAAAGAAATAGATTGCAGAGCCAATGTGTTTCTGTCAGCAACGGTGTTGCAATATTGTTTCAGCAGACGCGCACACTCACGAGGCTCTTTCAATAAAGCCAGGTGTGTGGGTTTATGATGTGTTGATGTTGGGAGGGATTGAGTTTGTGCTCCTGCATACCCGATGGATGAAGCCAGGGAGAACAAATCACCTTTCCAGTTGTGTTCCCGTGTTGCATGTCCGCTCTGCTTGCGCTCTGATCAGTCTTCCCTCTGGGGAGCTGGCAGTCCTTGTAATGTCATCCTCGACCAAAATCAATGCAAACATGTCGCCTGCACCTCTACCGAGCCTCCTTCAGGAACCAAATGTTTTAAAAAACCGTGAAAGCGTTTTGGGAAGAGTTATTACATCGTATGCCGCGTGCTAGAGGTGAGGGGACGTGTCCAAAGCCCTTAAGCCCCATGCCTTGCTCCAGTTAATTCATTGAGTTGATTATATAGCGGCGCTTGTTTTTCTTGTTTTTCCTCTTTCGTGGACTCAAACATGATCTATGAAAGGGGCCCAGGAGCTAGAACAGTTGCCCTGAAGCGTACAGGCTTCCGGCCGCCTCAAACTCAACTGACATTTAAGTGCATACAAACTGCGACTCGAACGGTCCTTTTATTGTGGCATTTGAAGTTATGTACCACACTGTTCCCCTAAAGGGGCCGGCCAGTCAAAAGCTGTGTCACAGATTTCCGTACAATAGAGTTTAGAAGTGGATCAACCGAGTAGCCTTGGCCATCTATTACTGGCTTATAAAGTTGGCACCTCTGGTGCAGAGATCATTTATCATGCCTGTAATGGAGACATGGAAGGGCCGGGACAAAGGGTCATGTGATCTGCCCTCATGACGATCTGCAGAATCCAATGACCCGATTTCCTCTCTAGTACAGCGATACAGCTCCATGAGTTTTGTGTCCTTGTCAATGCAGAGATACCTGTGAGCTGGAAGAATGAGTTTAAAGTCTTTTCTTCTTTCTTAACAAATGTCTTTTTGCTTTTGTACCCATTCCTTTACAGAATGTTGGACCGGGCCACCATCGCCAATACCCACCCAACCCTGCCATGGTGATGAAGTCCATCATCAGCATGAACAGCCCCAACGGGATGTTATCACGGAATCAGCTGACCACCATCAACCAATCCCAACTCAGTGCGCAGCTGAGCCTAAACATGGCAGGACCCAACATCACCCATACTTCCCCGTCACCGCCTGCCAGCAAGTCCGCCACGCCGTCTCCCTCCAGCTCCATCAATGAAGACGACCAGGAGGAAGGCAACCGGGTGAGCGAAGGAAGGAATTCGTTTATTTAACCGTGGAGAGTCATGACTCTGGGGAACTAATCAACCCTGTTTTCCTTCTCTCAATTATTGCAGGTCATTGGAGAGAAGCGACCAGCTCCCGTAGATCCCGCAAAGAAGCCCAAGACTCCTAAGAAAAAGAAGAAGAAGGATCCCAATGAGCCCCAGAAGCCGGTCTCGGCTTATGCGCTGTTCTTCAGAGACACCCAGGCCGCCATCAAGGGTCAGAATCCCAACGCCACCTTTGGGGAGGTGTCCAAGATTGTGGCCTCTATGTGGGACGGTCTGGGAGAGGAGCAGAAGCAGGTACTAATAAAAATATTATGCAGATTCCTCTTGTTACGTCATCAGAAGCCAATGATTGTACGGCGTGGAATATGTGCAACGTACTCAGTATTTCAAAAGGAACTATCTCTAATTGATGGGAAGCTTTATTTTTCCACTTACATGTACCTTTGTCTCATTACAGGTTTACAAAAGCAAAACCGAAGCTGCCAAGAAAGAATATTTAAAAGCCCTTGCTGCCTACCGTGCTAGCCTGGTTTCCAAGGTGAGACACTCTTCCTGTGTCTTTTCTGTGAATTTGACAGTATTACATCGTGTACTGTGAGGCTGGAGAAAACTTTTGGCAAAGGCCACTGAAGCTATTTGATGAAGAAACTTTGCAGTGTACCTCTTTCGATAGAGGAAATGGTATTCTGCAGAGGGGAATAGTGTGGCTTTGTAGATAAGTTTGGATGTTTTTTTTTTTCTCCATCCAGGCTGCAGCAGAATCGGCCGAGGCCCAGACCATCCGCTCGGTACAGCAGACCCTGGCCTCAACCAGCCTGTCCCCGGGCCTGGTGCTGCCCTCGCCTCTCAACCAGCACCCCTCCATGTCATCAGCGGCCCAGGCCCTCCAACAGGCCCTACCACGGGCCATCGCCCCAAAACCTCTGCAGATGAGACTAGGGGGCAATCAGATCGTGACCTCGGTTACGGTCTCCCACCAGAACATGTCCTCTGGGATGTCCCCGCAGCTGCTCGGCCAGATGGGTGCCGGAGGGGGCATGGTGGCGGGTGCCCAGTCCACAGCGGTCTCTCAGATGAGCCCACCGATGCAACCGGTGCAGCAGCATGCGATGCAGCAGCTCCAGCAGCAGCAGCAGATGCAGCAGCACCTCCAGCACCATCAGATGCAGCAGCAGCAGATGCATCACCAGCAGATCCAGCAGCAAATGCAGCATCAGCATTTCCAACACCACCTCCAGCAACAGCTGCAGCAGCACCACATGCAGCAGCAGCAGCAGCATCAACAGCAGCATCAACAGCATCAACAACAGCAGCATCAACAACAGCAGCAGCAGCAGCAGCATCAACAGCAACATCAGCAGCAGCAACAACAACAACAGCAGCAACACATGCAGATGCAGCACATGCAGATGCAGCATCAGCTGCACCAGCAGCAGATTCAACATCTCCAGCAGCAGCAGCAGCAGCAGCAGCAGCACCAGTCCCAGTGTTCCCCACCCCAGCACTCTCCCGGTACCCCCCATTCAGTGGGAGGCTCTGCGTCGCTTGGCAGCCCCCAGCCCGCCCAACAGCAGCAACCACACCCCTCCCAAATCCAGGCCCACGCCCAGGTTCTGTCCCAAGTGAGCATTTACTGAGCCAAATGGAAGTCCTATCTCCCAGAACAGGAAGAGAATAAAAGCATCGTTCCCCGTTGCTTTTCTACATTGCACTTAAAAAGTGTGAAAGACTTAGAATGTTATACAAAGAACTTGTCCATTGTTATAGACGGATATGCACACGCGTGTACAGGGGGTGAACATGTTGACTGGGTTTTTGTCTATAAAATAGGCTGAGCTACGACGGAAGCCTGATAAGGCGAGCTCCCAGTGTTTGTTTGTTTGTGCGGTCTTTCGGTTGTCAATTTAAACTGGCTGGGCACACGAAATGTTAAAAGACTTGTCTTTCCCTGTTTTATTTAACAAGAAAGCTTTATTTATGAGGCCAGAGTTGTCAGTTTGAATACGTTTCAACTAAAGGATTTCTATCGGCTCTTACCTGGACTGAGTGACTCAGACGATATCTGCTGGAAACCAGTAACACACAAACATCAATCTTTGTTCCCTCACCGGCCAGTAATTGACAAAACGGTCTTGACTCAACTTTCTCCTTCACCTTCGCAATGACTTGGGAGGAAAATGGTTCTTCAAATCATCACAGGTCGGAGGCCCGCTGATGTGGCAACACGCAAGTCACGTCACAAATGTAGGAAAATGTGGACAGAAAATACAAAGTGTAGTGACATGGCTCTATGAATGAAAGACTGAACGGACGGAGACGGAAACTGCCATGGATCATTTATTTCATCACGTTTTCAAGCTGTAGCTGTGATCTGCTGTACATGTTTTGTAGAGTGAGGAGAGACGAGACCTCTCGCATCCCATAATCTTTGCCCAAAAGCGCGTCCCTGGCAACCCAGATGTTTTAACAATTAAATTATGTTTTTATTTTGTGTAACAAAGGGGATATTTTATGGTAAAAGCAAATGTCAAGGCCGACGGTTTGGGGATTAATGCATTTTTACTCTGTTCCTTGATGCGTCATTGTTTTAAAAAAGGAAAAAAGAAAACTAGCAGAGCCAGTTTCTTGCACTGCCAAAGCCAATTGAAAAAGGCATCGGAGTTATTTTTGCCGGCTGTACAGAAATCCCTGGAAAGAAAGAAAATTGTTGTACATTTTTCATATCACATGTTGTAAAGTTTTAATATGTGAGGCTTTAATTAAAACATTGTTAAACGACCTGTGGATTGCTATATCACATAGTGCATTTCTGCTCTTTTATACTTTTTTTATGAGTTACAATCGCAGCGATTCATTTTTGTTTGTATTTTGCTTATGAAACCAACTGCTTTTGAAAACTGTCCATAGAGTTAAACGCATATCGGTACGGAAAGGTTGTTTTCAGCTCACAATAGGAAAAGTAATTTAATGTTTGAGTTGTTGCTCGGCCATGAAGACAAACCCAGAGACATTCCATCACTAATATGATAGTAGCCATAATTTTGTATGAAGTATTATATATTTCTTTGTGTCTCTGTTCAAAATTAAACTATCAATCACAAATATTTATTTGAAGGAATCTGTTTATTTCAAAAGCTTAGTGAGCCATATTTTCTGAGATATTTCCTAATGTCTCCTTGTTGGTTATTGAAAATGAATAAATATCCATAGCAGTCGGCCCTTAATGAGAATTTGCATTTCTATGAGAGAAAAGTAATCTGCAGCGGTACATGAGCATCCATGTGGGCATCAACATAGTGTGTGCTGTGATTTGAATGGAAGTCCTTTGTAACTGTGTGAAAAATAGTGTCAACATCGGACAAGGTCAGCATGTACTGTAACTGGTACTTGTCTCAATAACAGTCCCCTTCTCACACACCAGTGCATTGGATTCTGCCTCTTTCTTACTCCCTTCAAAATCGCTTCATTTCCAAGACGTCCCCGGGGGGGGGTTTGCCGAGCTCCCTTGAATAAAATGGCGAGCGGGGGAGGGAAGGCAGGCAAACAATAATTATCATATCTTCACAATAGGCTGTGAATCCAGTGGCCCAGAGAAGAGCCTTTTTTTTTTATTCCAAAGCAGCAGAGACATTTCAGACGTGGCTCAATGTCAGTTACAAATTGGGAGCGAGAATCTGCTCCTGTGCCGCTGTGATACCGCTGCTCGCTAGAATTTCCAAACTCTCGGTTTGTTTTCAATCAGTCAGTTTTAAAGAAAGCATTTGTAATTTGGGCAGAGGTGCTGCCGCCGCGATTGGCTCTTCGGCTCGCCATGGAAACGATGCCCATTTCTCTGCCCTGATTAATTACAGCATCTGCCCCGTCAGAAGCCTGAGCGAAGGGGACTGCGGGAAAACCGCAAACAAGCACTGGCAACCGTCTTAAAGTGCTTATGATGAAATGAATATTAAAAACCGCCAAGTGCCATGCATGACCTGAATGTTAACACGGGGGGAGAAGAGGAGAATGTGCAGAGCGGTTGTCCATGGATACCAAACACTTGCTTTAAAAACACACAGTAATGAGGCTCTGGGAAATCGCCGTTATTATTCTGAACAGATTCACAGCAGAGCCCATTAATAATGCATGGCGCTCCTTGTTATTCCATAACCCCTCAGTGCTGCGGTCACTGTGTGTACAAATAACTCGCAGCCAGGGTTAGAGTTATGGGGCTCTGCAATAAAAAGGTTAGATATTTTTTCAAAACATTGCTACACACACACACATATTTTACAAGAATAATACACTGTTGCTCCTGTAATGGGGACTGGTGTAATTTGAATAGCTGAATAAATAAAGTCCACCGCTTCGTGCTGTTGTTGTATGTGCAAGATAAATGTTTTTCTTTTTCCACTGTAACATGATATCGTCATAGAAACACGAGGCCATCGATGCTCTCCCTTTTTTCGACCCTTATCATTAACAAACGCTGATGAAGGACACTATGACATTAAAATGTCATTCGAGTAACGCAATCACGAGGTGACCTAATTGTCCTCCACCTCCCCGCGGAGGTCAGTTGCTCGGCACCGTGCCAAGGATGACTAAGGAGTCAGATGTGGAAGCCGAGGGATTCTGGATTCTAATGATTTATTTGGCTCTTTTGTTGTTTTCCCGTTGATCGCACATACACAATGTGAGCGAAACAAAAGCCCTGCTGACACTGACCATCTGACCATCTGACCATCAGACCCACGCCGCGGCCAATCTCACAGTCTGGACTCTGGTCGCAGATGCAGGACCTGCCGCTCTGCTCTGCTGCTAAACGTTGTCTCCCTTAAAAAAGAAAATAGCGGGCCTGTTTACTGATAAGAGGAAGTGCAGAGACAACTGACCCCGCAAGTCCAGTGCCAGTTTAGAGGGGGGGGGCTCGGGTCAAACGGATCACTCTGTTTAAGGAATTCTTGACCTTGCCATGATGAGCTTTGTAAAGGAAACTATTGACCTCCGAGATGAATAGTGAACTTTGTTTGGGGGGTGAGTGGGGTCGGGGGGGGGGGCGTTGGCCACTCGGTAGGCTGGCCGGACTGTTGACATCCTCGACCAATGGTAACGCTTGTTTAGAGAACTTTTGACCCGCCGGACTAAAAGCAGTGCCACAGGCGATGCCTCCGAGCTCAGCTAACGGTACATACAGGGGGGGGGGCAGTTTAAATATTATGATAACCTCACCAAAGATTATCATGGAAAAATAGCAGCAAGAAGTACAGGTTTGTTATTGTGCAGGAAATATGAGCCCCGGCACCAATAACCACATTTGCAGTCTTTTGTTCCGTCTCTTGTCTTTTTCATCTCGCAGCCACACGCGCAACATCCAAACTCACACATACACGCGTTTTCCACCCTTGGATTTCTGCTCAATGGTGTTGCCTTGGCGACGCGGCGCCTCAGCCATTAGGCTAAGCCCCCCTCTTTTGTGGAGTTCTGTTATTGTGGATCTGATCTGCCAGTCTTTTGACCCGTGTCAGCCCACTATACCAACACAATCCTCATAAAGACAAACAGAAAAACCGTGCACCGCATCGACTGATGTTCAATAAAGGCCAGAGGCAGTGCTGCAGCGCTTAATGACTGTAAATAAGCCTGTTTCCTGTGCAGGATTAACAGTATGTCATCACAATCACAGCATAGACACGTATCTGTGACATTACGGAGCCACATCTGAGATATGCAGTGATGGAAAACAAACCGGTTGTGGTTTGGATGTTAGCAAATAAGTCATTGAGATGCCTCCACCCAGGTCATGAGCCGTTAGATAAAAACTCAAACGAAGCGATGAAAATGTAATACACTTACATGCTTTTTAGTAAACATACTTATTTAACAGTGTATTGCGCAGTCGAGCATGAGCACGAATGAGGACAGATAAAGTCGCTTACATCCTGCTGCTGTCGACGACACAAAGGTCGTGGAATAAACATCCAAAGCCCAAAGAAAAACTGTTTATTAGCAGCAGTTGTCACCATAACAATAACAGCGGTGAGCATATGAGGAGTATTATGCTTCACTCACAATGTTGCGGGAGGAAATGCATCTGGAGCATTTACTCTCTCGTGAGTTCTACAGTTCTCTGAAGAAATGCACAGCGCGCTGTCAGTGATTTGAGAAAGCTTTCTTTATTGTGACAGATCATCGCGCCTCAGAGGTTGACAGATGTCCCCTCATTGTATGGAAAGCGATGGCAGTCTCTTTTTATTTGGACTTGCCTTGGTTTAAGAATGTAAAATCCAGCTCGCTCTCCCCCCACTGCCACCGATTTATTTCATCAGTTATTTTATGGCCTTTGTGTTCAGCAGAGGATCCCGACTCTGAAATTGCCTTTTATTGCAACTTACTTAGCCTGTTAATATAGGCTATTACCGGGCCGACATGTTCCTATGGCAACAAAACTGATAAAGTGTACCAGGAGACCGGAGTGATAGATTACACGTGCACGCTGTGTCACATCCAATTAAGTCAAACTGACTGTACTCCACATTATGCCACGACTTGCAAAGAAAAATCAATAAATATGGACGGTACCCAACAAGGTCCCCCCTCTGTTTCTTTCTTTCATCCTTCACGACGGCAGCGAAGCCAAGACAGATCGTGCCACTAGGATGTCCCTGCTGCTACAAGAGGCAGGTGCTGTGTAGACACCATTCAAAACTTGGCCTATTCAGTCCAACTCCTCTAACGCTCCATTCATGCATAGCAAAACACCATCTGCTCCTGTTTTGCCCGGAGCAATCACAGCTGACCAGAAAAAAAAAAAAAAGAAATCCATGATAACAGCTGTTGCCAAACAAAAGCCAAACAAAAGGGGGGGAGTAGTAAAAAGGTTAGAGACAAGTTTGACACCAAAAATGACTCGTTGGAGAGGGTGAGGGAAAACATTTTAGCTCTTGGTAACAGTCAGGGAGACGGGATGCCGTCCAGCAGAGCGGCGGGGAAAGGGTTAACCGCAAGACGCTCAATCTGTGGGCTTTGGCAGGCTTGAAACAGCGCGGGATCAGGTGATAATGGATTCAAGCTGAGGATGATTCTTTTACACAGTGGGTTCTCGGGGTGCAGAAGCGGAGGCAAATGAGCCGTCGAGGCGGCTCGCGGTGAATGGCTGCTGCCTCGTGCACGCGGAAGCAGGTGTAGACACACGCGGGCCTTCCAGCAGCAGCACGCTTAGCGTTCTCTGTACTGAGCACACCTGTTGGTGGTAGGAAGGTTCATGCATTCTTTCTGATTGCAACTAAATGTTTATTTTGTTGTTAGATAATCCGATTTTTCATCCAAGGATTGTTTAGTCTTAAATTGTCAAAAAATTGTGATACAACGACCATCGCAATTTGTCAAAGCGCAGTTTAACGTATAATCCTGCACATTTTACCGCTGTGGGATTAAGAAAGGATTACCTAAAAGTATTTAACTTGCTTTCCTTCAGAGGTAAAATAATTAGTCACCACTTCCCTACCTGCCATGTGATAATATTAATATACTCTTTTTGAACATCACAATTCTTAGTACAGAAAGATTTAAAAAACATCTCTGTAGAGTGTAAAAGGTAAAAGTACTCTTCGTGGAAATAAATGGACCCTTTCATATTACTATATTACGATATATATTTACAGATGGTGGATTATAAATTAAGACAGGTAAGAATACAATTGATTATATTTCATGGTTTTGTTTGGAAATGTTAACCTGTAAAGTCACAAGTAGCTGTTGAATTGTTTTAAAGAACTGAATTTGAATGCACACGAAAGGTTAAGTAAAATACAGGCAAGAAACTCGCAATTATTTAAAATTGCCCTTTTACCGGCAAGTACATGAATACATCTCTGCCCTTATACCCATCCAAGGCATTAGGAGCTGTTATTATTAAAAAAGAAAAAGGTTAATATCCGTAACTATAGACCTATAGCTTCCGCCCACCCCTGCTTTATGCTGCATTGTGGTGTGATTGGCACCGGTTCCTGCGACCCTGCGGGGGCCCGGCTTGATCCAGCGTATGGTCGCTGATCTGGGGGAGGGGCCGCGAGCGAAGGTGAAAGACCGAACAGCTTGCATGCCTCTAGACCTCAGCTGCCCA